TCATTCTTTAGTTTTAAAGAAATGGGTAGTTTTTTTTTATAAAAAGAAGATTAAATTCTAACTTTAAGATATTCAAATACAGTAAGTATTCTTAAACTTTACGGTTCACAATCTGTTTAATTCGTAAATTTTAAACACAAACAAAAAAACCTTAGTGGATGGGTGTCACGTAAGGAAACAGAATTGAAGTAATCAAATCCTGTAGCTTCATCTTTACAATCTCTACCCTGTCATTTTTATTTTTAGCTTCCTGTTGGAATGCAGGGATGGGCGTTAAGAACGTGGAAGGTTGGAGATCTGAAATGTGCCTGAGAGAGACAGAAGGATTCTGAGCTTCTGCACACTCACACGGAGCACAGTCGATTGCTTCAGAGCTCCAAAGTTCCATAAGTAGAATGTGCACGAGTGTGGGCGTGCAGAGTATGCGTGGAGGCTGGGGACAACCTCAGGTGTTTGTCCTCAGCTCTCTCTCTTACATGAGACAGGATCTCATTGTTTTTTACCATTGCGTATACCATGTTAATTAATTCTGGGGAGTCTTCTGTGGCTACCTCCCACCCCTCTGCAGGAGTGTTGAGATTACAGACGTGTGCCACCCTGTCTGGCTTTATATGGAGATCTGAACTTAGTCCTCATGACTTGTGTGACAAGCGCTTTACTCAATGAGCCTGAAGCTGATTGTTGACTTTAGCATTGTGGGTCCCATGCTGCATTGTTGTGGGATCCCCCACCCCCACCCCGTGCACAACAGAATGGTTGTGGCATGCCTGGCCTCTGCCTGGAGAAAGTGCTCTCTCCATGATGTACAATGAAAATTGCTTCTGGATACTGTTGGATGTTCCCAGGAGGGCAAAGTCACCCCCATGGAGAGCCATTTGCTGGAGAGCTCCATCATGGGATGCTGGTGGACCTGCAGTTTTCCTAGAAGGATATTGTACCAGGCCATGTTGACAGATGAGCTTGCATTCTGCAGAGAAAATTCTGCTTTCCTGGTACCAGAGGCGTCCTGACTCTCGCCCTCTGTCCTGAGGTCACCCACTGCTAATCAGCGCTACTTCCCTCAGCTTTTGGATAAACCAGTACCCAAACAAACAGTGGGATGAGGAGACCATTGAGAAAAACCCAGAGAGTGCCAAGACGTGGGAGGTTGGGTGGGGTAGAGGCCAAACCTACTCAGCATGGATTACTTCCAAGTCCCAAGTTTCAATGGCAATAGCGGTCTACACCTGACAGTAGGATGGATGAATGAAGTTGCGTAGTTACACAATGACACCAGCAAAGAGAATGAATGAACGTATCACCACGTGGAAGTGTGTAGATGGGCCTTAGCTCTAAATGAAAGAATGCTGCCTCAAGGGATTTCTCCTGAAGGAAAGAGTCCCCAAAGGGCAGTGTGACATGCTAAGGTTTAAGAGGTTCTCAAGGGAGGCTTTGGGGGTGTGAGCTCAGTTTGCAGACATTCTTTGAGGACATATGATATAGGCTCTTTCTTCCCTCCCCCCCTCTGCCATCCCTCCTTTTGTGAAATAGCTCAAGTAGGCCTCAAACTCACAACAGTGCTCCTGCTCCTGCTTCCCCAGTGCTGCAGCTCCAGGTATGATGTCCTGCTATATATTTTTTCTATATATATTTCATTACATAAATATATATTATACATTTTAAAGATTTATTTATTTATTATGCATACAACATTCCTTCCATGTATGCTTGCCAGAAGAGGGCACTAGATCTCATTATAGATGGCTGTGAGCCACCATGTGGTTGCTGGGAATTGAACTCAAGACCTCTGGAATAGCAGTCAGTGCTCTTAACTTCTGAGCCATCTCTCCAGCCCCTATATTATATATTTTAGTAAAAATCAAATACAATGTTCTTGGCCAAGAGGCAGAGAAAACCTGACCCATTGTGAACCCAGGGACTAAAGATGGACATATTGATCAGGAGGGGCCTTCCTGGTCACGTGTGATTTTTGTAATTCAAAGTCTTTCCCCTCCTCAGCCATCCCTCTCCACGTACAGACTTAGCTTTGGGGTGTGGATTAAAGAGTACCTGCTCCATAGAATTCTGTCACTTCCGTCCACTGGAGGTTAGACCTGAGCTAAATCTGCTCTGCTCGTTTCTGACTATACCCTGGCCTCCATTACGTCTGTGACACACTGTAGTTATAAAATGATCTGAGTAATTGTCACACATCTTTCTGAGCGGATTATGTTTGTCCCTGGCTCTCCATCAATTTGCACATTTCCCAAATACCCAGTAAATCTCGAAAAATGTTGTTAGCTGAATAGGTGGATGGTTAACACTCCTTTCTTTCTCTCAGCTAACTTCTGTCTCCAGACTCATTTTATATAGGTTTCCATCTTTTTTTTTTTTTTGCTTTTTCGAGACAGGGTTTCTCTGTGGTTTTGGAGCCTGTCCTGGAACTAGCTCTTGTAGACCAGGCTGGTCTCGAACTCACAGAAATCCGCCTGCCTCTGCCTCCCGAGTGCTGGGATTAAAGGCGTGCGCCACCACCGCCCGGCTATAGGTTTCCATCTTATTCAGAAAATTCTGCCTGAAGAGTGGAAAAGACATTGCTCTTGTTTTGGCCCCTAGTCTTACCCTGCCCCCTCTCTCTAAAGAGGAACCAAGAGATTGATAAAACTATCAGTTCATTCTAGAATTCCCCACTGTTTCTACAAGAATTTAGCTGGCCTCACATCTTCGGGCTGATTCTCTGGTAGGCAACGTTGTGTGCTCTGTGGGGCCATATTTATTCTCCCTTTTGACAGATGTGGTAAACAGCAAGAAAATGACCTTCAGTGCTGTTGCTACAAGCTGATCTAACTTATTTATATTTTAATATTTTCATTCAAGTATAGAAGTCAATAAAAATACAAAGCAAAAAATCATCAGGATTTTTACTTGAATGGATCTAAATTATGATGTGGGGGATGTTTTTAGGCAGGACACTAAGAATAAGATGATCAAGGAAAAATGCTAGCATTATATGTGGCACACAAAATGATTAGTAGGTGATAATATGAAAAGTAATAATATGAAATTAATAACTCATGTATGCTATGAAATAATAAGTTCAAAAGAACAGCCATGTTTCATAAGGGCTTTCTGGAATTTTCAGGTACACATCAGAAAGTTATTGATTCTCAAATTTTTTGAACTCCTTTCAAGCACAGGATTTTTTTTTAAAGATGCATGTGTGCGTGTGTGTGTGTGTGTGTGTGTGTGTACTCATGTGCATGTGTGATTTGTTTTGCCAACTTGACACAGGCTAGAGTTGTTTTGGAAGAGGGAACTGAAGATGAAAAATTGCCACCACCAGATCGCCCTGTGGGCAAGTCTTCTTTGGTGCATTTTCCTGATTGATGATCGTGTCGGAGAGCTCAGTTCACTGTGGGTGGTGCCAGTCCTGGACTAGTGGTCCTTGATGCTAAAGCAGGCTCAGTAACCCAGGAGTAGCATAGCCATTAAGCCCTGCACCTCCCAAGTCTCGGCTTCAGTTCCTGCTTCCAGGATCCTGCTCTGTGACTTCCCTTTATGGTTGGGACATGTAAACTGGAATAAATGCTCCCCTCCACAAGTTTTTTTTGGTCATGGTGCTTATCACAACAATAGAAACCTAACTAAGACGGTATACCACATAAGTACCAGCATCTGTGGTGGCGGAAGAGAGTCAGATCCCCTGGAGTTACAGGGAATTGTGAATGGGCTTCATGGTGTGGATGCTGGGAGCTGAACCTGGGTCTTCTGTAAGAGCAGCCAGTGCTCTTAACCACTAGACATCTCTCCAGCCCCCAGCATAGCCTTTGAGGAAAGAAAAGTCTAAGACTCTGGTGGATGTAGAGGTTCAAATCTGTTATCTCAGTGCTCAGGAGGACCTCAGGGTTGAGACCAACTTGGGCTACTGTGATGTTTTGAAAGAAAATGGCCCCCAAAGGGAGTGGCACTATTAGGAGGTGTGGCCTTGTCGGAGGAAGTGTGCTCTTATTGGAGGAAGTGTGTCACTGAGGGGGCACACTTTAAGATCTTTTTCTCAGACTTCATTTAGTTTGACAGTTAGTATGACTTCCTGTTGCCTGGAGATGTAGCACTCTCAGCTCCAGCACCACGTCTGCCTGCACACTGCTGTGCTCCCCTTCATGATCATCATGGACTGGACCCCTGAAACTGTAAGCGAGCCACCCTCAATTAAAGGTTTTCTTTATAAGAGTAGCTGTGGTCATGGTGTCTTTTCACGACAATAGTAAACCTTAACTAAGACAGCTGCGTAGACCCTGTCTCCAAAGCCATCCATCCTTCCTGTCTAATTTGGTCAAATTGTTCAGTTATTTCAACTCTGTCATTTCCTGGTCTAACATACCATTCAGCTAGGAACCTGACTCCCACTGCGAAATGGAACATATAAGAGTATTCTTGGCCATTAGTTAAGTTTACGAAGCAACAGACTAAACAGATAGATTGCTGGTGGCTCTTTAGTTCAGGAAAAAAAGCTTTGTTAGAACACTAAAGACTAGGAAACATGCAATGACATCTCTACTTCAGACTGGACTAGAAACAGGACTCGGAATTGTGTCCCCTTCTTCGGAGACAGCAAGGCGACCTCACAACTCCAGAAAGGTAGAACATTTGACTGCACACCACACTCCAAAATGGCAAATTTGAAACCAAATGAACCCTTAGGAAGATCCCAAGTCTTTCAGGTCATTGTCTGCTGCGGGAATCTCCCACAGTGTTCACATCACCCTGCAAGAGATGGCACTGCTAGTTGCAAGGGCTTTTTTTTAATTTTTTATTATTATTATTTTTTTTACAACATCTTCTCTCCAAGCAGCTTTCTGGAAATCCAGTCCCTCTTATAAAGATCTAGCTGCACAGCGCTGGGTGCCTCGGGTGCCAATAACAGAACCACTTCGTGTGCTCTGAAGCAAATTCCATCCCCCACTGTCAATCTCTGCACCACATTCAAGAAAGAAAAATCTAGAGAAAAGATAAATTCCTACCTGTCCCCAAGCCTTGTCCGCAGGCACTTGACTGGATAAAGATGCATACAACCAGGAAGATGGGAGCATGGAGGGGACTTCCCATGTCTCTTGTCTTGTCCTGGGGTTCGTGGTCTTCTTGCTAATGTCTAGAACTAAAGAGACCAGGCTGTTTCTTAGTACTCAGTTAGGGAAGGCCCCCATTAATTATTAACCTTAAAACATATTACCTAGTGTTTGGACTCTTTCTTTGCCTCCCCCAGTCCAAATCTAACAATATCTAGTACCAAAAAGATTGACCTACCGAAACACCTTTTATTTTGATAAATTTTGTAAATAAAACACCTCACCAGGTCTCTTTTCCTTTTGCGTCAAGCTCATAGTGCAGAATCAATCTAGAGTTAGTGTGCTGTGTTTGGAACTTTTATCAAAGGTGGGGTAGGTAACCTCTGCATCATTGGCCGTGTTTCACTCTACAGCCCCTTGAAGGAGAGGTGGGTTCACGAACATCATTTTTCAAGTAACAGACTGACCCCAAAGAGAGAGAAGAGCCCACATCTCCAGGGACTCTGCTTCCTGTTGAGGTCAGTCAAGTTTCAGGCGCCTGCAATGTAAGCATAGCGGTGCAGCAATTCTACAGCTGGAAGAGGGGCCGAAAAGTGGTGCATTCAGGTTAAGAAGGACCTGAGTGAGAAGCAAAGATCAGAGTCTTCTGGGAGCCCTGTTGAGAGATACCCTGGGATAAACTCACTCACTGGGTTAATTAGTGTTCAGCTGAGCGCTGAAGGCTATGAAGCAAGGTCATTCAGCAAAAGCAAGTGGGGAAGATGCCACGATGTGCAACTCTTGCAGGATTTCTTGGCTCTCTGGTGCTGTTTATATTTTATTTATTTTGTATGTGCACGCTGAACAAATAAAGGCTGTATATTGAACACCACTGTGTCCTGGGCACTGTTCTTGGCTCTTGAGAGAGTTAAGTGAATAAAACAGATAAGCTCTCCAGCCCTTATGGGATTTATGTACCATGGGGTGAGAAGAACTATGTGATAGAAAGCAGATGTAATAAAGCAGAGATACATGTATGAGAACCGTGAGGCTGGGAACGTAGCTCAGTTGGAAGAGTGCTTGGCTGAATCCCTAATGCGGCAGGTATGGTGGCACATGCCTATAACTCCTGCACTTGGGAGGTGGAGGCAGAGTATCAAGAATTTAAGGTCATATCTGGCTACACAGTGAGTTCAAATTCAGCCTATGCTAGATGGTATTTTGTCTCAAAAACTAAAGTTAAAAAGAAATAAAGAAATGACAGGGGTAATGAAGAAGGCAGTGATTTTAAATAGAGTGGTCAGAATGAGTGTTGCTCAGAAATTGAACTGGAGACAAAGGATTGAGGGACGTGAACGAGTTGTTCTGTGGGAGAAAGGAATTTGCTATAGTTAGGGCAATGGTCCTGAGGTTGGAACATGGTTAGTGTGTTCTAGGAATACAAAGACAGCTAGTGAGCACAGAGAGACTCATCATAGGTCCGTGGCTTTTACATAAAGACTCAGAGAGACACAAGCAGCCAAAGAGTAAGTAACATCATCAGTGGTGTTTGCAGGTGAGCAAGGGTGAAGAGGCAAGTTCATTGAGGAAGGCGTTGTGACTGAGCCCACTGGCAAGGCATTGCAATTGAGCCCATTGAAGAAGGCATTGCCATTGAACCCCAGGCTTTGATGGTGACTAGTTCAGTGCAGCAATGGGGGGGCTGGATTGCTTTTGGAAGTGGAACTAGTAGATTCCTTGGATTTCTGGGAGTGGGGAGGTGGGGAAAGAGTGAAGAACGACCCAAGGCTTTTGGTTTAAGCAAACAGATTAATGGGGTTACCACCAACTGAGACAGGGGGAGCTATAAATAGAATGGGTCTGGTGTGGTGGGTGATGAACAGTTCAGATTTGGTTTTGTGGAGTCTGATTGGCCCTTAGACACCCCCAGTGAACTGTAGAAATGACTAACAAGCAGTTAGATAAAGTGTCAAGTGTTGTCTGCCAATGACTGACTTAAAACTTTCTGAAGGGGCTGGGAAGACAGTGGCGAAACTGTTTGCTGTGCAAACATGAGGACCTGACTTGGTCCCCTGACTCCACATTAATTAAAAAAAAATCCAGACATGAGCATGTTCTTGTAACCTCCCTCCCTCATGCTGGGGAGGCAAAGCCAGGTGGATCCCTGGAACTTTTTGGGTAGTGAGTTTCGCATAATTAGAAACTGTAGGTCCCAATGAGAGACTCTGTCTCAAACAGCAAGGTAGAGAGTGTTTGAGGGAGACACCTGACGCCAACATTTGCTTCCCACATGCATGTGAACTATATGTAGTTATGAACAGTCTTTATTCCAACCCAAACCTGTATGCTCTGTGGCTGTGCTTCCTCCCTGAAACACGGGACCCATCACCAGTAAGATGCGTAATTTCTGACTCCTGACAATGGCTGGGGTTTTGAATTTTGGGTTGTCTCCTTCCTGAAACACCAGAATCATCACCAGTACGATGTGTGATTCCTGACTACTGAGCAAGGACTGGGGTTCTGGAGTTTGGGTCATTTCCTTCCTGTTTCGCACAGTTAAGCAAGACCTGAAAATTTTACTTCTTTTGTACTAAGAGTTCAGCCCCTAAAACCATCTGACCAGCCGCCTTGGGTCCCTTTCCCACTAACTCGCTCTCCTCTCTTCTTTTCTGGATATTGGAGCAACAACTCCCAACCCCCATCTCACTCTGCAGGTGAATTTACCAAATTCAGTGAGTTTGCCCTCCTGTCTCTATTCTCTACCAGTACACTTTTTCTATGAAAAAAAAAAGAAAGAAAGAAAGAAAAAAGAAAAGAAAAGAAAAAAAGAAAGAGAAGGAAAAAGAAACACCACTTCCCACAGAGGAAGAAACCTCCAAAGCTGTAGCTCCTTTAGCTCAGTCACTTGCTCCACCCCAGGTTTCTCCTCTCTCCATCTTATGCTCATGCTCCCTGAAGCTTTCACAGTGACAAGGAGGAGTAGTGTCCTCTCCCAGCAGGCAAGAAGATCATAGTCTAATGAGCACCAGGCTTCTAGAGCCTTCCTGGCTCTGCTACCTGCTATCTGAAGAATGCTAAATGACATTGGTGGCATATATTATCTTATCTCTAAAGTGGGGATAGCATGGCCTGAGATAATATTTTAAGATTCCCACGTACTTTCCCTCTAACTGGTCCCTTCTCCCTTTCGCCGGCTTAAGAGCAATAAAGAAATGTAAGACTACATGGTGCGCGTCTTCCAGGGCAGGGGTGCTCTAACCAACCAGGACCAGCAAAGGGCTAAACTTATTTTTTAATTATTTGAATTTTATACATAAAATGATATGCATATAATGTATATATAATACACACAATGCATTTTAATCAAATACACCCCCCCTTTTCCTCCCCTCCAATTTCTTCTACATCCCTACAACCACCATGAATTCCCAACTTCTTGTGCTCTTTCTAAAACAACCTCACTGAGTCTATTTAGTGCTGCTGATAGATGAACAGATGTTAGACATTCTACCTGAGTACAGGGATCCTCTTGGGGCTGCATCCCTAAAGAAAACTGGCTCTCCCTCCCTCCTCCACAGCCATGAATTGCAAAAAGTTCTATAAACTTTACTGACTACGGCCATTGCTCCTGGCTATCCTCCAGAACCTGACGGTAAGATTCCATTACTGAAAATACCACACTCTTGAGTCGTAGGACATGGAAGATTCAAGATGGGCTAAACTGTTTTAAAGAGACATGAAGGGAGAAGAATTTTCTACCTCCCCATCACTGGAAAGCCAGTGCAGGAGAATTGTCTATATTCTGTCAATCACGTTTTAAGTAAACACTGATTGGCCAGGCAGGAAGTATAGGCGGGACAACCAGATAGGAAGTAGAGGAGGGGCGAGGAGAACAGGAATATTCTGGGAAGAAGGAAGTTCTTTCCGCAATCCTGCCCAGACCACTGAAGAAGCAGGATGTGATCTACCCTGCTGACAAAGGTACCGAGCCATGTGGCTAACATAGATAAGAACAATGGGTTAATATAAGTGATAAGAGCTAATGAGAAGCCTAAGCTAAGGCCAATCAGTTTATAACTTATGGAGATCTCTGTGTGATTTTCTCTGGGACTAAACGGCTGGGGGACTGGGAGGGACAGAAACCCCAACAAGCTAGCCCTCATGTTACATTCCTGCTTTCCTTCCTTCCTTCCTTCCTTCCTTCCTTCCTTCCTTTTTTTCCTCTTCCTACTCCTCTTCCTCTTTCTCTCCCCACACCTGTCTCTGGGTCCCATGTGTCCCAGGCTATTGCCAACGAAGACTTGAATTTCTGATCTTGCCTCCGTCTCCCAAGTGCCAGGATTACACGCGAGTGGTCTCGTGCATTCATGCCAAGTTTATGTCACACTGGGGCTAGGACTCAGAGTATCACAGATTCTCTTCTGGGTCTCTATCACCAGAGCTGCCTTTCTGGCCCACACCTAGCCAGCTTCTCCCATGAACCTCTGTGGGAAGGCCCAAGCTCCTAAAGAGGCTGCTGTCATCATTCACTTCTAACATGGTTCCTCAAAGGCCATTCTAATTTGGGTAACACTGCATTCTGGTTTGTAAAATGATGTTTTCATCATTGGCTTTTTAAAATGTTCCCATCCCTGGCTGTCTTTTAATTTGAAGAACTTCTTAAAGAAACAGTAATTTCAAGAGTCTGGCGTTTGGTGACCTGAAACCAATCTTTTCCTGTAGAGTCATGGGAGTGAGAAAACTAATCAGGAGGTAAGAAACAAATGTTCTGTGGGACTGAGGAAGAGCAAATCCCAGCTGGGGGGTGGGGGTGGGGAAAGCAGGGACCATGGTGAGGCTCAACCGTGAGGGAAATAGTGCACTATGTTCACATGTGTGCAGGTGTACATGTGTGTGTGAGTGAGTTCAACCTTGAGTGGGTTCCTCAGCACTATCCATTTGGTTTTTTGAGACTGACTCTCTCACTGAATCTGGAACTCTCTGACTAGGCTAGGCTGGGCAGAGAGCCTAGGGAGTTCTCCAGTCTCTACTTCCCTAACACTGGGATTACAAGCATGGGCCACCACACTTGGCTTTTTTATGTGGGTTGTGGGGGTTGAACTCAGGTTCT